CAGAGGGACCAAGTGCTCGGCGAAAATAGCGCCAAAGTTGGCGCAGACCATGCTATCTATCGGGATCTCATCATCCAGCATCTCAGCAAAGCTGTAGTAAAGTAGAATCAACTCACTGTTGCCTAGAAGCATCTCAGCTCGGCGCAGACTTACACAAGATGGTGTTGCCTAGAAGGCGCAGAATATACCTGATAACAGGATGTCGAACATCTGTCTGCGTACTCATATTGCTCTCGTAGACTCCATTCCCAAACTTGGACCAGAATGTCTCCATGTGGGTCCATTGTGACAGAAGGAGAACGCCTGTAGGGTGGTCAGAGAAACCATAAATCCCGCAAAGCTCAATCAGACTAATCCTGTAGTGAATCTCGCGGATCAGAAAAGTCAGTGTGCCTTCCTGCACTCGCTTGGCCATCTCGTTCGTGTAGTACACACGAACAGTGGCGAGGAACTGTCAAACCAGATCACGGTACCCGATCCTCTCCAGAATCTGCAAAACATCATTCAGAATACCCATCTTCTGCAGCACTGTGGTGTCCGCGAATCTGGTGGGGATGATCTTCAGCTCCAGCCACGCATTGTAGAACAGCGGAACTCACAGGTATCTCGCGCCACTTCCTGCTTCGGAGTCCCTGCCCAAGCAATTCCAGAAGCGATTTTCTGATCCTCTCACTTTAGCCATGGAGGCCTGCAAACCGGTCGACTGCTATCAGACTGTGCTGATCCTGATGCAGTGCTCGAAGACGATGCTGCTCGCTGTCTCTTCTTATGTCGAGACATCTGAAAATTCAAACCAAAAATCGACCAAAAATCACCAAAATAAGCTAATTTTTGAAAAATTCAAAAAATCAACGAATCATGGTGAAATAAGTCGTTTTGCTCATCGAATGCTAGATCAGGTTATCAATAATGCTCTCACATCTATTACACAACCTAGGTTTCAAAATTCCAGATGATGTGTCTAAGAAGATCAGTTTTAAAGCAAGCAGAGATGAATAACCAAAAGATATTCCTAACAGATAGCGGTTTCTACAAACTCATGATCAACCTTTGAAAAGCCCTAACTTAACTAGCAGATTACTCAGACATGATCATGGAATCACAAATCATAGCTTAATAAAATTGTATTAAAGAGAAAGAGTAAAAGTTAAAGGGTTCAAAATCTTCTCAAAAGAGTACAAGATCTGTCTCCCAAAAAAGCTCGGAATAAATCAATCTCTAAAGCTCTCTGAATTCTAAAATCAAAGATAAAAGCCAGCAATGGCTGAAAACCTAATATACAGAAGTCAAAACATGAGCTGAGGCCTTTTTTTGCAAATACTAGAAATTCTGGGCCAAAACTGCAGATAATCCTCCATCTTTTAAAAACCAGACGGGCGTCACCCAAGCCATCAATCGCCTTATGAGTTGCACACTTCGTGGTTGTATCTTGCAATGTTTCAAAAAGCTCCATAATCTCCAATTGTGCTCTAGACATGCTATAACCTGCAAAGACTCTACTAGGACTCTAAAAAGACCAAAAAGACTCAATAAAGAGGACTTCTACCATGGTTAAAAACCATAAAAACCATGATATATCAGATATCAGCTTGCATTTTGAGCTTGATACTAGGTTAGGAGTTTTGGGAAAGGGTGGAATTAAGTGGCTTAACTTTTAATGTATCTTTTGAGAAGAAAAGAAGAGTGGGAATGGCTTCATGAAGAAAGAGATATTGTTGGAAGATGATTGTATCTTGTGGCTAAGTGAAAAAGAAGAAAGCTCTAAGTTACAAAAAATAAAAGGGGCCAGCAACAACAAGCTTACAAAGGTCATGCAAAAGGAGAAAAATCAGGCCAAGCAATCCACCAAAAAGGTGATGAAAATTGGCGCCTATACAAAAAAGAAGAGCAAGTTCTAAAAGAAGTCAGCCATACAAGCAAGAGAAGAAGAACTCCCCCACATCTCAGGAAGAAAATTATCAAAAGAGCTTTGGGAAAGGGTAGATTAAGGGATTTATCTTGGGGGTTTAGACTTAATTAGGATCAACTTTGGGAAAAGGGTAGAAGAGGGCTTTGACTTGCATGCATAAGTGTGCTTTTACCTTTAGCATTTTGCCTAAGATAGTTTCATTTAATATGAGGGATCCCCTATTTCTTTGAGCTATTGATGAATGAGATCATTTTTTTTATCTCGTTACCATGTCCCATGAACCAAATTCTTTCACTTAATTTGCACAAACCTGATCAATTTGTTACTTATTTAATGAATGTTAAAAAAGTCTAGTGATTTGAGAGTTTGTGTAGATTGATAACTTGAGAATCATTTTCGTTTTGTGATGAGTGTGGCTAAGTTTTAGAATAAAGTTCCATCATTTTCATTCTAACATTAGAAACACAGACATCACTTTGATTTATTGTTAGCATTTTAATGATATGAGTTCCCATCTTAAAACATCATCACCATGTTTAATCTATTATTTGCTTGAGGGCAAGCAAAGACTAAGTGAGGGGGTGTCGATATCTGGCTATAGTAGAGTATTTTAGGCTGCATTTCATGCATCTTTCCCCTTGTTTTTGCATATTAGTACATCATTCTAGACTCATTTGCACATATAATCAACTTTGCATGCATTTAGATTAAGAATGCATACATCTGCATACATATGCATGTTTATGGTGACTTTCAGGTGTTTTTGGGAGGTTCTTGGAGTTGGGAAGGAGATGGAAGCAACTCAAATTCGAAGGAGATGCCACAGAAGTAGCTTTGCAAACTCTGTGTCCACATCAGGGTCCAGCATCGAGCAGAACACCCATGAAGCTTGCTCGATGTGAAGTGTGGGATGAGGAAGAAGGATGTGATCAAGGGTTCCGAGACTGCACTGGGGTAGTGCACCGAGCTAAGCATGCCGTATAAGCCAATACAAAGAGACAGGGCATATCGAGGTCTAACATTCTGGAAAACACCAAGAAACCAGCTCGATAACGAGTTGGGCACATCGAGCAGAACACCTTCCCTTGCACCCCGATGCGTCAACGCCGAGAGTTGACCAAGATTTATCTACTTTTTGTCAAACCTTATCTTTTTGGCATATTTTAGCTAAACCTTATATTTTTTAGCACTTATCTTCTTCTTTATCTTATTTTTTGACCTGAGGGGAAACCCAAAAGGGGATTTGATGAGATTTTGATCAAGATCACTCTTTTAATAAACTTTTGCACATTCTTTGTTTTTTCCTTCTAGTTCTTGTTTAATCATGTTTGATCTGTCTTTTCTGCTTGTTTATGTTGATTTCATGATGTGTTGTGAGTAGTTTCACATGGTTTAAGATTTGAGCAGATTTGGGGATGATTAGTTGATAGCTTACAGAGTTTTGGTTTCATTTATGCTTAGATCACTTAGCTTAGTTGTTCTTAGTGCTTAGTAACTCTTTGAGGGTGAAACCGATTAGGTGTTTGCTGCATCACAAGTGTTCGTTTAAATGCCTGAAAGAACTTTGTTAGGAACATTCTCCTAGATAATTATATTGGCACTTAGGTAGTATGTTTGGTCTATAAGAGTCTTGTCTTTTCATGCTGGTTCTGCACAAATATGCCATCACAGGTGGGTCTGACATGTGCTTAACTTAGACATCTCTGTTCTGTTTGCAGATTGATTGAACTAGTGGCTTGATCATGTTATTTGCTTGTTATTAGTCTTGACTACCCTAGGTTTGATACTTAGTAATCTCCAAGTCATCATTGCTCTAGCCTTGAACCTGTATCTTATTGTTCTTTGCATTTGATCATCTTGTATTCTGTTTTCCTCTGTTTTTAGTTGCTTTGCTTTTGTTACATTTCTTGCCTTGCATTTCATATTATTGCATTAAGCATTCATTTTGATTATTGCACTTCTATTGATTTGTTTAGCTTAGTCTTGCTGTATTTAGATCATTGCCTTGTTAGTTTCTGTTACATTTAGTTTCTTTGCATTGCATTACTTGTTTTAGTCTTTCTAGATTTCCCTTTTGGTTGTGCATTTCTTCTTTAATCACTTAGGTTGTTAGAATCATCTTTTTTCATCATACATGGTTAAGTTTAGTTAGTGCTTTGCATCTTTTTTATTTTAACTCCTAGATATATTAATTAAATCTCTTCTATTTGATTAAAGAAAGATTGAGTTAAGACTTGCAAAAAAATCTTTCATGCTATTATTCGAAACCACCCCGTCAGAAGAAGAAAAAACAATTTAGGATAAAGAAAACTTTCTAAATTTAAAAAAAGAAAGAAGGTTTCCCCATTGAAAAAAAAAGGAGCTATATAACCAACCTCATATCAATATAAATAAAGAAGGGATTGTAATAATTTGGAAATTCAATCCAAAAATCCCAAAGAGTGAACAAAAGATCTAATACGCTAGAAGTTTTCTGTTTAAATCTTTAGAAACTTTTACTAACGTTCTTGTTCAGATCTCTTGTTTGTTCAAAGATTAGGTGGTGGATCTCTAGTTCAATGTCATCCAAATCCAGCTTCAGACATTGAAGCATATTGTACTGTGCAAAAGCTTTCTTTGAATGTGTATTCCCAATATCCCTCATTCGTTGCTACAACAAGGATTTTCTTTATAAAGTGGTCCATGTTTATGTTCTGTTCAAATTCAGAAATTTACATATAGGTTTGCGGGAATTTGGACATTGTCTTTAAGAAAAATGAAAAATTAGTAAGAGTCCTAACGGATAAGTAATATACTCGTTTGACAAGAAGTCCAGGGATTGCAGCAAAAATACTCCGCAGTGTTTATGCTTTTATATCTTTGGGTTTTCAATTTTTTTCCAATACAATCATGTCAACCGCAATAGATTAGTAACGGTCCCAACGGAAACGGATTCATAATAGTGATTTGATCATACGTTAAGAAAAGCATAAAACTTTCATGATACCGAAGCCTATACAGACATTCGGCGAAGTTGCGTTGTGTACACGTACGTTTACATATAACTTTATTATAGTTACTTTGCGTCCAAATTTTTTTTTAAAAACACTAGCTAGTTGTAGGCTTCTTTCATTCCGCCGCCTCCACGGCGGCCACCACCACCACCGCCCTTTTGCCCTCCTTGGCCACCACCGCCACCGCCCTTTTGGCCACCACCGCCACCGCCCTTTTGGCCACCACCGCCACCGCCCTTTTGCCCTCCTTGGCCACCGCCCTTTTGCCCTCCTTGGCCACCGCCCTTTTGCCCTCCTTGGCCACCGCCCTTTTGCCCTCCTTGGCCACCGCCCTTTTGCCCTCCTTGGCCACCGCCCTTTTGCCCTCCTTGGCCACCGCCCTTTTGCCCTCCTTGGCCACCGCCCTTTTGCCCTCCTTGGCCACCGCCCTTTTGCCCTCCTTGGCCACCGCCCTTTTGCCCTCCTTGGCCACCGCCCTTTTGCCCTCCTTGGCCACCGCCACGGCCCTCTTGGCTATATTTGGATTCATCAAGTTGTTCACCAATGAACTCATCAAAATCACCTATTCCTTGATCTAGCTCATACTTAGCGTTATCTGCTTCTACAACAGAAATCTCTCCAGCGTGTTCACAGCTCCCGTACTTACATAATGACTTTGACTCCTCTACTTGGTTTCCACCAGCTTATAAATTTAAACAAAACCACAAAAAAACCGTCAAATATTTTATAGAAACAATTGACGGGAAAATGCAACATAGCAAATGATATGATTATAACCTTGTTTCGTGTCATCGATGGAAGCAACCACCGTGACCGCAAAAACAGCCGCTAACAAAAGTGACCACACTAGAAAAGCTCTTGTATTCATCTTCAAAGTCTTTGCAGCAAGCAGAATTAATTAAGAACCTACACACCCGCTTCCTCTTATTTATAGTTGCATCGTACACCTAAGGAACAAGCAATGAAGACAAGCTAAAGATTATAGAAAAACCAAGCGGTGAAGGATCTTGAGGCTGCATCATGACAAAATCATCTTAGTTGGCAACTGAAAATTTGGTTTGCAAGCTTCGTTCAAGTCTCTGGACGCAACACGTATAATTTCATTTTGCCACGTACTGCAAGGTTTTGCTGGACTAATTTTAATCATTGCATAGTAAATTATTTATGGCAAAACTCGAAAACTATATGTTAAACAATGTAGCTGCCATTTGCATGTGTTCGTCTTGACATGTATATTCAGCTGTTCCTAGAAGTTGTGCATGTGGACACAGGACATAGATTTACTCTGTAAAGGTGGCAACTGGCATTGGACTCTTACTTCAGCCTGGACGTACAATTATGCCCGATACGAAGAGTTAAGAAAAATAATAACGAAACTTGGATATTTATATCTTAAAGTAATTTGTAATTTGTTTTCTCTCAGGCACGTTTACCAAAAAGAAAAACCTAGTTCCTAAACGCGTTGCCTCTCGGCGCGCAGCCGTCGCAATTTCTTCGCCGGTGTGCTCTTCCTCCGGTGGAACATTCCGGTGTCCTCTCAGCCTTTCTCTCTCACAATTGTGTCTTCTTTTATGGTGTTTTCTGCTCAATTGCTAACCAATGGCAAAGCTTTTATCCAGCGATGGTTTCAGATAAAGCCATCGCTAGATCCAACGATGGCTTTATCTGAAAGTGACAATCCGGCTACCACATTAACTCTAGCTATAGTTTCTGAGTCTGTAGCTGTAATTTCTGAGATAAAACCATCGACTCCCTTTGTTCCGTCACTAGGAGCGTGGGTAAAGCCCTTGAAAATTAATCCAGAGCTGAAGGACCCAATTCCTCAAATTCCTCCTTCATCTGAAACCCTAATTTCCAAGAGTCATGTTCGACCATCTGATATTCTTTCTCCAGAAGTAAAAGAAGATGGCAACCTACGATTTCCTTGGGCGGCTAAGATGGATCCAAAAATGTGAAATCTCCACCGTACCACTTCGCCAACTTACTTGGAGAATGGCACACCAATGGTGGTGATCCCAGACCATGTCTTGATGCAGGGATTGGAAAATCAAAAAGAGTATGTAATTAGACAGTTTTATCGCTGTTCTTTGCCACCAGGAGGTCTCATCCATACTGTCACCAATAGGATTTGGGGTAAGAGATGTAAAATCTTCACTCGCAAATTAGGAGACTCTTCCTATTTGTTTCATATCCCGGATGAATCCACTAGAGTTTGGGTTTTAGAGAGAGGGATATGGCATATTGATGATTGCATTATGTTTGTTGCTCCGTGGACTCCTGCTGCTTCATTATCGATACCTGAAATAACTTCAGTTCCTATTTGGGTTATTCTGAAAAATATCCCCAGCTTATTATATTCTGATTGGGGAATTAGTTGGATAGCATCAGGTTTAGGGGAACCTATGCTCACCAATAAACCAAGGTTAGATCCAACTCAAATGGGTGAGGCTAAACTAATGGTGGAAGTAGAGTTAGATAAAGCTTTTCCGCAGAGAATTGCAGCTGGAGACCAAAAAGGCAATGTGTCAATGGTGTCTGTTGAGTACTCTTGGATTCCTTCTAAGTGTGAAAAATGTGGGCATTTAGGCCACAAAAAATCGAGATGTCTGCTCCTTCATGAGACTAAAGCTAACAATTCTGACTTTGTGGATACTAGAGCAACCGCTGATATAGCTTCTGAAGTTGTTAATACTACAACTCTGGATGTTCCTCTTGTTGCTCCTGTGGAAACAGCCAATGAAGTTTCAAGTGATGTTGGTGCTGCACATGCTGCAGTTTTATCTACTTCAGCCTTATCAAGTGAAGAGGCGGAACTGGTGGCAACTCATGTTGCTAATCCAATTGATCTTGATCATATTAATGCTTTAGAAAATGCCAATGCTACTCCTTCATTTGGTTCTCCTCCTGGTTTGGTAACCTTCTCAACTCCTCCTCTCTCAGATTCATTTGCTAATGAAGTTGTGCAAGAGAATGCCTTTGGAAGCAATCCTTTTGCTGCCTTAGACTTTGGACCTACAGGTTTTGAGATGGGTGACACTTCCCAAAGGACAAGAGGAGGAAGACCAATAAAACCTACCCAAAAAATTCAAGAAATGCAATGGACCATGGTAGGGAAGGGAAAAAACAGTGGTCGTGGCCGTAGAGGCCGCGGATCACCATCTTAAAAGACTTTAGAGAGCTCTTTCTAATTTTTTCTTCTATTTAAATTTCTACTTTGCTGTAGTCTTCGCTTTTGAAACAACTTTCTCAAAATATATGACTTATAGTGATAGCTTTGTATTATTTTTTTTCCTTGCATTTTAATTGAAAGCTTTTTATCAAAAAAGAAAAGAAAAATAATAACGAAGAGCAGGAATATATGGAAATGATTAAACTATATTTATTACAAACAAATAAAACTTTAAAGGTTTTTCGGGTTTTAAATTAAATTACGAATTTATATGAAGAAAGTTAGAGACACTAACTCTTCTCTACGGATGTAGATGTTTTTCATAAATTCATGTTTCAAGATAAAATCTATTACTAATAAAAGTTGATGATATATGTTTTTAAGGTGTTTACATAGAATTTAAAAGATTTAATACTATTGGTATATATTATCATCTATAGTTAATTATATATATATAAATAAATTAAATTTTTTTCTTGTTATTAGTAAAATTTCTAAAAATTATCTAATTTTGTTTTAATTATTATTAGTAAAGTTTCTAAATTTTTAGATAATTATTAATAAAAATAAGTTTAATAAGTATGGAAATTAGATACCATATTATTTGCCTATAAACAATAAAAATTAACATATTGTTAAATTATAATATATATATAAATTATAAAATATTTTGGTCTATATCATGTTCTGTAATTAATTATATTTTTTTAAATAATTTATTTTTTGACTAATTAAGAAAATTTGTAAATTCAAATATTATACTAACTAAAACATTATAAAGATAAAAAATTATGTAGAATATAAAAAATATTAAAAATTAACTTAATTTAAAATTATAAAAATTAATTAATTAAAAACAACACTTTCAATTATATAAAAACTATTTAAAACTGAAAAATGCTGTTTTTACATATAATTAATTAAACTGATGTTTAAAGAACACTTTAGTTATTATAATATAATAATTTAATCACCGTTGTTTGTTATAAGTTATTACTAAGATTAATTGTTTACAAAAAACATATTATATCTGTTACTTATAAAAATTAAAACTATTTGAAGGGAAAGATATTCAGATATGATTTGAAACAACCAATACATAACATAACAAGAATGAAGTTAAAGATGATGATAAAAGTTATTTTCTTTTTTTAGAAGAATTAAAGTATTATTGTATATTTTTTATGTCAATATTATGTTTTTTCTTTGTCAATAGCCTCAATTTTTTAGATTAGTTCAGTGAGCCAAACCGGTGGAACTGAGTTTACATAAACTAGATGGTGAAGGCATGTTCAAGGATTCCGTGCTAGGTTATCCGCCTTCGTGTTTTGCGCGCGTAGAATCTGTGCTAACGAGAAAGAAGCAAACTCCCTTCTACTGATTTCGTATTCCGCTAAATGTATTGAAAATGCTGCCCACTCCTTTGGGTTCGACACCATTTTTATCAAATCAGATCAGTCTGTAAGGAAGGTCATCTCCAATTTTCTTATATCAAGCATACTGTGCATTTCCCAAATCAGAGCTTCTATTCTAATTCTAGGGCTGACATACTTTGTCTTACATTCCTTGCACCCACTAAGGTACAAGCTGTTCCATGTCCTTGGCAGAACCATCCCAACCCGGAATTCGGACTGGATTGTTTCCATGACCCATCTATTTGACATGTCAACACACCCCTGTATTTAATCAATTCATGTAAAATTACTGGCGTTGGCGCCAATATTCCGTTTGTGCTTCCTCCCAGGCATTTGCTTCCGTGGCTGCCAATCGTACGACCTCTCGTGGATCCTGTTCGATGTTCGAAAAGATCTTATCGTTTCGCATTTTCCAGATGTACCATAATAACCAAGGAAATACCTTTATCTCTTAATTGTTTGGTAGATGCCATAAGAATTGTGCTATATCTGAAAAAAGCGCGTCCGCCGGAAAAACATTTATAGGTGTTGGAATTACCGATAATTCCCATACTTCTAAAGCCGGTGGACATTCGAAAAGAGTATGGTTTATTGTTTCTCGTGCTGCCCCACCGCGGGTGCATTGAGGATCACAATTTATTCTTCTGGTCTGTAGACGGTTCGTAACCGTCAAGCACCCCGAAATAGCTTGCCATAAGAAATGTTTCATCTTTGGTGGGCATTTGACTGACAACACTTATGCCTGTAACTTACTCACATCTGGTCCATAGTATTGGGGGACTGTGTCCATATGAGAGTTTTTTGTTCCGTAAAGTATCCAGATTTTACAGTGTACCATTCACTTTTTGAAAAAAACCAACATGGAATCCTGCCTTCTTTGTCGAGTAGTAGGCATGCCAATTATGAGGGAGATATCCTCTTTGACGTTAATTGTTCAAGTAATGGTATATTCCAAGTTGAAGTCGATGGATCAATTAGTTGATTAAATATTAACTCAGGGTATAAGTTATACCCTTTGGATATAGCTGATCTCGGGCGTCAGAAAGGAATCCAAGGATCGTTCCATACAGATATGGAGTGACCAGAACTAACTCTTTTGATGAGCCCTTTGTGTACCAGAGATCTTGCAGATATGATACTCTTCCACCCATATGACGCAGAATATGAGCGGATTAGGTCAAGAGGTGTATCGTTCCTAAAGTACCGTCCCTTGAAAACTTTCGCGAAATGAGATTCCGGGAAATCTATAAGTCTCCAGAGCTGCTTAGCAAGTAGAGCCGTATTAAAATCCTCAATTACACGGAAACCAAGTCCCCCATCCATTTTTTTAATATAATTTATGCCAAGCTAACCAATGCATACCCCGGCCCTGGCCGTTGCTACTCCACCAAAATTTGCCACCGTACTTGTTAACTTTGTAGTTAATGTTTTTGGTAATCTGAAACATGACATAGCATATGTCGGTACTGCTGAAGACACCGACTTAATGAGAACTTCTTTTCCCCCTTTCGACCAACTATTAACACCTTTTTGCTGTCTTTCTTGGAGGAAATTGAAAATTATTGTTTTCGCCCCCTCCCCCCATATTTTTGGGGATTTCCAAATATGTACTCATACCCCCATATTTGTGATCCCAAATGTGTTATGAATTGCAGTTCTTGTATGTGAATCCACTGTGTACCAGAATCGGACGGATGATTTATCAAAGTTAATTTGTTGTCCTGACGCCGCCTTATATTGTTTCAGTATATTAAATAGAGCATTTGACTCCGCTTGGGACGCCTTACAGAAGAAAAGGCTATCATTAGCGAAGAAAATATGAGAAACCGATGGGCTAGTCCTAGCAATTTTCATTCCCGTGATTAGTTTATCACTTTCCGCCTTTTTCAAGTTTGAAATTAGTACTTCCGTACATAAAATAAAGAGATATGGCGACAAAGGGTCTCCTTGTCAGAGCCCCCATTGGGGTTTGATTTGACCCCGTGGATGACCATTGATAATGACCTTGTATTGGACGGATTTGATACACCACATAAGCCATGTAATCCATTCTCCAGAAAACCCATTTTACTCATTAAATTTTCAATAAAAGACCACTCCATCCGATCATATGCTTTGCTCATGTCCGTCTTTAATGCCATAAAGTCCTTTCGGCATGACTTATTTGTTCTTAAACTATGAAACATTTCTAGGGTGATCTAAATAGTATCCGAAATAAGTCGACCCAACACAGATGCTGATTGAGTTTCTGAAATTAATCTTGGTATCAACCTTCTTAACCGTTTGCACAAAACCTTAGAAATGATTTTATATCCTACATTGCATAGGCTAATGGGTCGTAACTCCTTCATTTTGGTATGACGATCTGTTTTAGGGATAAGACATATATTTGTCGAGTTAAGCCGTTTGTCAAAAGAACCCTTAACAAGAAAATCATTTACCATTGTAACTACATCCTCTTTTATACTATCCCAAGATTTTTGAAAAAATAAAGTCGTCATGCCATCCGATCCTGGAGCCTTCCCTGGATGCATCATAAGAAGCGCTTCTTTCACCTCCTTCTCCGTTGCTGGATTAACAAGTTCCATATTCTCTGTCTCCGTTATTGTTGAGGTAATTTCCGCTAAGACATCGTCAAACTGCGTTGGTGCATTTGATGTAAATAACTCATCAAAATGCTCTACTGCAACCTTTTCTACCTTCTTTTCCCCCTCCACCCAGAGTCCCTGTGTATCATATAGACCCATAATCCTATTAATTGTCCTTCTTTTGTTGTGTGGTCGCATGATAGAATTTTGTATTAAGATCTCCACATCTATTCCATTAAATTCTTACACTTCTGTTACCAGTAGAGTTCTTCATCCCGATAAGCGTCTTTAAGTTTGTCTTATTTCATTTAGCTCTCCATGTGTCTGTGTATCATCATTTTGTATGTTTTTCAAGGATTCTTTGAAGATCCCCAATTTTTTCGCTTCCATATGGTTGATTTTCATGGCGCCATTTCGAGATCTCATGCCTACATGTATTGATCTTGTCCACAAGAGTTTGCACTGAGTGTGATTGACCAGACTACCAACATCGTGTGAGTGCCTCCATAATTCCTTCTTGGCCAAACCACCTCTTATCAAACCTAGTTTTTCGTCGTCTTTTAAATTTTTTTTGAGGCAATCGTGGCCACTGTTGGTCGATGGTCAGATCCAATCATCCTCAAATACTCTAAGTATGAAAATGGGAATAGGTCATGCCATTCCGCTGTTGCAAGGCCCCTATCCAATCTGCACCTATCATTTTATCCATTTCTTCTACCTTTCCATGATAATGTATTTTCGAGGTTCGAAAAATCGATTAAACCACAATTATTGATCATTGTATTAATGCTTATGAAAAAGACGCTTGTCTAAGGACTCCACCCTGTTTTTCATGATTGCCTGAAAGTTCATTAAATTTTCCTAGTTATACTTATTCTAGTTAAGCGTTCCCAAACTTGATCCCTTAATTTTAGAACCGGGTCTCCATAAACGAATGGTCTAAAAATAGTATTACCCTCAAACCGTGTCTTAATATCCATAAGTCTGTTATTAGAAAATAAAAATTAAACATCAAAAGGTTTATTAAAAAACAAGGCACATCCGCCACTTGCACCAGACGGTTCAACCGTGTACATCAAATCATAACCAAAATGAAACTTAAATTGTTCTACAAACTCAGAACATTGTTTAGTTTCAGAAAAAAAAAGAAAATCTGCTCTAAATTTTCGCCAAATCTCCATGAGATAGATTATTGTATACCTATTACTCAATCCTTGACAATTCCAACTTAACACTTGCATTAAATAATATCTTGATGATCCAACTCGTCACTCGTACCTTCACTCTGTCGTGAAGGCACCATACCCTTTTCTCCTCCTTTTTTTGGATCCGCAGTAATCCCTTTCTTCCTTGGAGTGACAACATGCATCAACTTCCTTGATCCACCCCCTAGTGCCAATGATCCTTTGAAGAGTTTCTTTTTCACCCCAGCTTTAGATGGAGGTTTAATAACATTTTGATCATTACCAGATTCCTCTAGAGTAACCAATATCACACCGCACGCCAACCATACCTTCTTCGTTATCGAGCATAGTCTAACGTATATTTATCCCATCCTTTAGTGAAACCTGCACCTTTGTCTCATTATTCCCCACCGACATCATCTCCATTCCCTCTATAATCTCAAAGCCTCACCAGCAACCATATACTCAAAAAAGGTTCAAAATCTTTAGTCCCCTTCTGTGCATATACCTTCGTTTCATCCAACGTCGCATCTAACGAATTTGCCATGATGACTTGATCAATCATTTGCCCCAAATCATCCATCTCGAGCCCTACCTCATCAAAGGCTAGTTCCTTGCGCACCTTTTTTGCTGAAGGTTGTGTAAGGCTATTTGGATTACATCCTGATGCATTCTCCTATAAACCTCCAGAAACTGTAGCAACACCTACTTCCTTATGTTTCAGTGTAATGGTATCTTTACCCCTCTATATAGTACATGATGAACCACCACCGTAACGGTGTTTGATCTCCCTTGGCGGGAATGGCCTTGCAGTCATCCGTGGTACTCCCATTTGGTCTCCACCTGATTTGTCACCATTGAACTTACCCCTTCATACTTCTCTGTTCTCGGTAACCTTCCCCTTCCCTTTGTGAGAATCCCCAACAGTTTGTTTCATCTCTGCAGTTGGCCCAGCAGCTACCTCTTTGCCTTGGAGAGCCCCTTTGTAGCTCGTACCACCACTATTTCCCTCATCTTCCTTATCTTCCTTAAAATGGCTTTCAATTGCCCTTTCTCTCTTCGGGTACAGCAAAGGACAGCAAGCTGACTCGTGACAAAGACTGAAACGCTCTCTGAAAAACCCGTGTAGCCTCTCATAGTGGAGCAATACTATTGTCTCAACCCCCGTCCCCCCCCCCCTGAAACTCCACTGCGGTCTCATATACCAATCACGGGCACCCAAAAGGTAAGAGTGGATGGGTAATTTGGCTCCATCGGTGGCTCCCATCGAACCAGCACCACCATCCATCCATCAAAATGGTATGGCTCCATTTGAGCACTGCAGTGATATCATCTTCCTCGTCAAAATCAAATTGGAAGTGGCCCATGCCAAGATCCGCTCCAGCCACCCTGTCCTCCACTTTCCAGATCTGTGGAAGCATGAGCATAAGTGAATTTATATCCTGGATCCCAGGGTTCATACACCTCCCAATATGAGTGCGTGTGTATCCAGTGATCAGCTCCGTATTATCAAACCTAAGGACAATAGTCTTCAATCTCAGGGCCTGCTTAGCCTTGCCCCTGATGCTTTCACTTCCAGTCTGAACAACACCTGATTGAGACATTGTTGTATCCCAGAAAAGAAAATTTGTATTAGCCCTTTCAGTAGTAGAATGTAAAAAAGAATAAAAAATGAGATTAACGATACATAAGTGGGCGCTACTTATAAAATCCATATTCTCATCAATCCCCAAAATAACCTCTGTAATACAAGCCTGGGATTGCCAAGTAATTAACCCAAGTTTCTATTTCCTCCTATATTGACCACAATCAAATCGAGACAATACTTGTATACCTTGCCATAGTTGTCTCCCCTGAAACCACATAGATCTCGTAATCATTTGATTCCTCAAATCACACACAGCTAGCCCCAAATTAATCACCACATTATCCACCGAGATGTAACGTTGATAACCATTTAGGTCCGGAGATGCTTGATTGATTTTCCCTTTAAACTGAGATCTGCAATAATGTAACCATTCTGTTATTAGTAAATCAGTATCCCTTTTGCACCAAAGACAATAAGAAAGATGTATCTGTAGGTTTTATAATATCAAAAGTTCTCATTTTGTATCCCAAAAATTCCATTAGAACCAAACAAGCTGATCTTGACAACGCCAAGTCCTCCATTAGACCCATGTTGAACTTCTATATTCCACAAATCATAAACCCATGAGAGTAAGATAAGTGATGAGATTTTGATACCCAATCTCCCTCCGAGTGGGTGACCTAGCAGCAGAGAAACAAAAAACAGTCCACCATCCTGCTCAGTATTTATAATTCAAGTGATCCTTAATGCACTTTGATTGCCAGAGTTCTATGTATCCAGTAGTGCTCCCTGGAGACTCAACCGAATTAAGCTCTGTCTATCATCGGAGAAGAGTAGATGAGCTATGTCTGTCCCACCAGTTATCGCCCCAAGCTCGAAAAGGGATTCCCGAGAAGTGGAGCCAGACCCTCGCACCTTCGCTCCTTCCCCTGATTGTCGACCAACTGTCTCATCGCCACCAAAGACCATCGTTGATGCTCAAACCGTCGAGAAAGGGAACCCTCAAGCGAAATATCCCTAATTCTCCAAGAAGTAAAGCGAAACTTCCAACATGAAATCAGAACCTCAGCTAGATACCTCCAAACGGAACCCCTCTATCATCCTTGTTGAAATCCCAAATCTCGTCATTCGTTTGCTTCCGAGTTTTTAATCGGGTCCTCGTGCTTGAAAATGTGACCCAAATTAGATCTGCCCTTTCAGAAACCTCTGGTTTTGTTCCACATAAACCATGAAACCCAACAATCTCCTTGAGATTACATCCCATATGAACCCTATAACTTTGTATCCATCGCCCGTTTTTTAGAGAGAAAGCGTTTTTTTTCCTAAGTGTCTTTTTTTATATATATTTTGTCAATATTATGTTTATTTAATATACCAAAAAACAACCAAAAAGTAAAAAAAAGAATTTATTTGTTTTAGAGTTTTAGGTAGTTTTTGGTATATTAAATTACAAGTGTTTGATCAGACAAGACATTTTTTAAATTAGATATATACAGATTCTTATAAAAAGAATTATAAAGACAAACAGAATATTATGATTTGAACAATTTTATATCAGTTTTGTAGCATTTACAAACACGAATATACTTTTGCTACAAAATTTGGATCTAAACTATATCTCGACATGATAAAATGCAATCTCAATTAAATTTGGTATATTCAAAGGGTGTAAGACATACAAAATTTTTGGAGGTTGATAAAAGGGATACTGTAACGAGAGGCGTTCATTATGCTTGCTTTGTTTACTGCTTTTTGTTTGTTGATTGTTAGAGGAATCGTTAAACTGTGCTCATTCGTTTAGCTCTGGCTAGCGACAGATTTGGGTAATGGTATATGTGGTGGACCACATGTATGCATTCTCCTGAGTAATCTAAATTACTCATCCCATACCTGTCCCTTTTCCCCTTGCGCAGGTGAGCAGGAGCAGCATGAGTGATTGGCGTGTGATGGTGGCGAGCTGGTTCTCTAGTTTGATCCTTGGAGACCTTATGTCACTTAGCTTTCTATTTCAAAGGGTTTTCAGTTGGTTTTGAAACTTGGTTATGGAATATTTTGAGGTTAAGTTGGTTATTTGCAAGACTATTTGAATTTATATCTATGGAATGAGTATTGATTTAGAGTTAAAATTGTGAGTGTTTAACACGTCATCTTATTTGTGGAGAAGCGGTGTTACATAAACATTAGACAATTATCGACGTAAGTCGCAGACATATCTTTGTCGGACCTTAAATACTATTCATGAACAAACTTTGTCGCTTCTTGTTTCCACATGTTCAATGAATTCTTTCAATATCTAGCCAGCGACGATATCAGTCGACAATAATTTATCAACGATAAAAGAAATACTCTAAATTAATTTAGAATGTAAAAATAATGTGAAATTGATATTCTGTGGAGGGAAAATTATGAATAACTTCTAGTTTATGCTTTTTTTAATTACTAGTGTTATCCTTGTAACTATTTTTATTTGTAGCCTAATGGCAGACTACTGACACACTGAATACACAATACTAGCATACTCATTGGTCGTACAATTGAATATAGACTATTTGCAGACTAATGACAGATTAAATACAAATTACTAGCAGACTCACGACAGATTAAAATCACACTAATGGATCCCTCTTATGGATTGATATAGGAGTTTACTCTACTTCAAATCCTACATGTACTCATATCATTGTAATTTGAAGGTATCAATCCATAATGGAAAGGTAAGACACCAGGAATGCAATAGATTATCTATATCAAGCAAGCATAAATGGTGATTGAAACTATGGAACTAATGACTAAGAGAGACTTCAAACAAGCAAGAGTAAGCAAAATAAACGGAGAAAATAGTGGGCTTAAGATAGGGTAATTGATAAAGGGAGACTCTTGGCTTAACTAGTGATGCTTCAAAACATTCCAAACAATGCTGTTCCTAGGCATAAAATTAACAGCTATAGCTAGCTCAATTCCTTGAGACTAACCACTTTGCTAAAAACATATTCAAGACAAATTTCTTTACTCAAACACCTGACCAGCAAGCATTAAAAGAAACTAATCCAATTATATACTGCCAATCTACTCCTTAGACAGCTAATTCCTTAGGCCAAGATAAGCAAGTCTCTTACTTGACTTATTCAGGCAATTCATCAAACACTTATCAGGAATAAGAGAACCCTAGGATCTAGATCAACTTAGCAATAGTTAATCTAGCATTAAACACAATCAATAAGAAGGAACAATCATATTATGCACTAAGCAATCACTAATCTAACCCAAAATCTCCCAATCTCTATCCCATCTCAAACTCTAAGCAGGCTACTCAGTAATCATGATCCTAATCACAGCCCAAAGCAAGAGAGGATAATAATTCATGATAAGAGAGAAGATAAACACCAACTTTGGATTGAAAGAGCAAGATTCAATAAGAGATTACAAGAAAAACTAAGGGAAATGCAAAAGAGAAAGCTATTATCGAGAGGGTAAAAGATGAGAAGATGCTCCTTATGTTTCTACGTTGCAGTCTATATATAATTTTCAGGAAAAATCCTTAGTAAACCGGAAATAAACCGGAAATCAGCTGGTTTGGACGCCTAATATCGACTTGTTACGTCGATACCCTGGTCGATATTGGTTGGCAGGAGAGTGTATTGACCAAGTCTAGTTGATACTATCGTCGATATAGTCGCCTCTGGTTAAGGCATCTCGGGTGATCTCCTCGGTATGCTGGTCGATACAATCGCCCTCTAGTTAAGGCTCATCGAGCTCCAATGTCGATATAGTTATCGATACCCTTCCTTGGCTTGCGTATCAAGATGATCCTATGTCGATATGCTGACCGGTATAAGAGCTTCAAAGCAGGTGTGTCGATCAGAATAGCTCGATATCCTTCTGGTGTCCTGTCTCCTTGTATCGACTATGGGACTTCGATGCGCTGATCGATATAGCTCCTCAGCAAGTATCGACGTGTGATGTTGATACGCTGCTCTCTACGTTGCGTATCGATCTGCCAAGTCGATATCCTGCTGGGTATGAAGCCTTCTTGCCTTGGCTCCTTCACCTTTTGATTCCTAGCTTTGACTTTGGTCACCAAACTCCCAAAATGCACCTGCCAAGTGCTAGGAATGCCTCTAATATGCAATGCGACTCCTAATTATACTCTAGATGCTAAGTGGATGCGATTGGCACAAGAACATGTAGAAATGCATGCTTGAAGACTACAAAACAAGGTAATAATGTATGCTAATATGGTGTAAATAATGAGTATATCAACACCCCCACACTTGCCTTTTGCTTGTCTTCAAGCAAACAAGAACAAATGAGAGAGTGAGGTTTGAAAGTGGGAGCTCAAAACTAAAGATGTCAATGGAAAAACTGATTCCATGCCCAAGTGATAGGTTCTAAGATGCATAGAGATTGTTCTACTTTAAAAACTTTAGCCATACCTATCATAGCAAACAATGAAGTCTAGCTTAGTCTACACAAGCATTCAAATCAACCAACTCTTTAACATTCATTAATCAGTAACCAATGGATCATGTTTGTGCAAATCATAGAAAATATTTGGTCAAGGGTCATGGTTATGAGATGAAAATGATCTCATACAAATAAGGGTTCAAAGATTGAGGGGATCACTCAATGAAATGATTCTATCTTAGGCAAAATGCTAATGGTAATAGCACACCTATACATGCAAGTCAAAGCTCTCTTTTACCCTTTTTACCGAAGATGAGCCTAGCAACTTCTAAAACCCCGAGTGAAACTCCTAAATCTACCCTTTCCCAAAGCACTTGATTTCTTCCTTCTTCATATTTGGGGAAACTCCTTCTTCTTTTGCTTGTGTGGTTGACTTCTTTTTGGAACATGCTCTTCTTTGTTGTATGATTGGCGCCACTTTTCTTCACCTTTGGTGGATTGCTTGGTCTGATTTTTCCTTTTCGATGATATTTTGTAAGCTTTGCTGTTGTTGGCGCCTTTCTTCTTTAACACTTAGAGCTTTCTTCCTAACCAACTTAACCCCAAAATAAACTGCTCTCCCATACTACCAACCCCATACTTCTTCTTCTTCTCAAAAGATGTAAACATTTATAGCTCAAACCACTTACACTACCTTTTCCCAAACTCCTAACCTAATACCAAGCTCAAAATGCAAGCTGGTGTCTACAAGAGAGCTTCTCCTTGCCAGCCTTATTCCTAACACTTTTTGCCAAGATGAAATCGAAAATGATGCAATGCAAGGCCTCACAACTCTCAAAATAATGTTTAGTTTCAGAAAGAAGGATTGGTTTAGGGTTTGGTTAACTATCACATAATGATGAGGATCAGCTACTTGGATTAACAAGAGTGGTAAGAAGGGAAGAAGATAATCCAAGTATGTATATGGGTAGCCATGTAATCATTTTCAATGCACAAACAAGATAATTCAAAGTGAGGATTATGGTTCTAATAAGATATAGTTGGAATCAAATGAAAGCAAGCTTGATCATAAGGCAAGAATATCAATGCAAGAATTTAGGACATGGTGCAGCCTTAACTTCAAACTCACTACAATGCAATCAAACAACAGATAACCAAGGCACTGAAAGCAACTCAAACATTAACATCTTGACAAGTGTCTATCATTTACTCCCTATGAAAATGTATGCAAACCTATATTTGCCTAGAGATTGTTCTACTTTAAAAACTTTAGCCATACCTATCACAGCAAACAATGAAATCTAGCTTAGTCTACAAAAGCATTCAAATCAACCAACTCTTTAACATTCATTAATCAGTAACCAATGGATCATTTTTGTGCAAATGAAAAGAAAATATTTGGTCAAGGGACATGGTTATGAGATGAAAATGATCTCATTCAAATAAGGGTTCAAAGATTGAAGGGATCACTCAATGAAATGATTCTATCTTAGACAAAATGCTAAAGGTAAAAGCACACCTATGCATGCAAGTCAAAGTTCTCTTCTACCTTTTGTACCCAAGATGAGCCTAGCAACTTCTAAAACCCCAAGTGAAACTCTTAAATCTACCCTTTCCCAAAGCACTTGATCTCTTCCTTCTTCATATTTGGGGAAACGCCTTCTTCTTTTGCTTGTGTGGTTAACTTCTTTTAGGAACATGCTCTTCTTTGTTGTATGATTGGCCCCACTTTTCTTCATCTTTGGTTGATTGCTTGGTCTGATTTCTCCTTTTGGATGACATTTTGTAAGCTTTGCTGTTGTTGGTGCCTTTTTTCTTTCACACTTAGAGCTTTCTTCCTAATCAACTTAACCACAAAATAAGCTGC